CAGAGGTGCTCAGTCTTCAGGCCAAATCTACTCTGTCGTGACCAGCCGACAACCTTGTTCCCTCTGCTGTTTTGCTGCTTTTTCTTTTTCTTTTTTTTTTTTTTTTTACAATTTTCTCAAAGTTAACCGTGTCTATTAATTTTTTCCTGGCGTGCAGGGAGATGTCCTCACAGTCATCAGACGGGTGGATGAACACTGGATCGAAGCCAAGCTTTTTGACAAAGTTGGACTCTGCCCTCTGCAGTTTACAGAGGTGAGTTGTCTGTTTTTTTTTTTTCCACTCTTCCTTAGCTGTTTGGTCTGTATCTATTCCTGTGCGAACCGAGGCCCACACACTGGCACTTGGTAAAATCCACTGCTGTTCTCACTGTACGTCACTAACTCCAGGTCAACGCCAGGGCACTTCCTTAGTTTTTATTAAAATCTTTGATTTTTTTTTTTTTCTTCTCCAATTGTCACTTTTTTTTCCTGCCAAGTGCTGAGGCAGTGAGATAATGTGTGAAGCCCTGCTGCGTGTGCAGCTGCTCATTAGTCGGCAACTCTGTGGCTCGCTCAGGTTTGCGGAGCTTGCTTAGCTAGCTGCTTGTCATTTGTTTTTCCTCAGCGCCGCCTGCCTCCAGGAATTAACTTCAGCCGTGTGTGGGAAGAACTGTGTTTGTTACCACAGTGGGTTTCTGCCTGCTTCTGCCACTCGTCACCTGTCATCTGTAGTCAACATCCCTCTCTCTTTCATGAGTCCTCCCCTCCTCTTTTGCCTCCCTTTATCTCCCGCTCAGCCTTTTCTCCAGTGATGCTCGTCATCTTTTTTCTTTTTCTGCCTCCATTCTTTCATCCTGTACTTTTCCTCCTCTCTCCTGTCCTTCCTGAGCCCGCCTCTCCTCGTGTCGTGCAGCCAGGCGTAAAGACACAGTAATGCTTTCTCTGCTTGGGTGGCATAACAGCACATCACTGTGGAAAGTGAAAGCATTAACCCTACCATGCCTGTCAGTGCAGCTCGTCCTCCAGCTCCAGTCAACGCTTCCTGGTGTTTTGGCTGGTTCTTACTCTCCCGTCTCCCTGCCTGTCCAACAAGTTTTAGGGGTGAGTGGAACAATGATAGGTGGGTGTATTTAAACAGACGTTGGGCTGATCTGCAGCAGCAGAGGTGGACAGGCACTAGACGCAGGTAGGAGCGACTTGGAGAGGATCTATTTAGGTGAGGAGTAACTATTGTACCAAGGTTGGATTCACCACCGTTCTCCTCTCTGTGTCTGTTTGTCTCTTTC